CTCTGCAGACAGGGTGGCACAGCAGCACAGCAAGAAGTGCTGGGCACGGCCAGGCCCCCTGTCACCCTGTCCCAGTTTCACAGCTATCTGTGTCAAGAAAGAGGTGCTGTATTTCCCAGTGTTGTTGCTAGGAAGGTGTCCTGAGGTTCCTGCAGGCTCCCCTGATGCCCTGGGTGTGGTGGTGACATCCCTGCCCTGTCCCCAGCTCAGCTGGATGCTCACAGAGTGTGGCACTGAGCACAGCTGGTCCCGAGCCTGTGCAGGGAGAGCTACGTCGATTCTGCTTATCTGATTGTTTCTGCTAGGAGCCACCACAACGAGGGAGAGCAAAAAGGTCTAATCCTGTCTGACAGCACACCATCATTGGTACTTCAGCCTGCCTCTCATATTGGAACAAAATTAATGTGGCCTAAGCATGATGACAGCTTGACACAATGAGGGCAAGTCACAGTAATAGGGCTTGAATCCCTGATTTTTTCCAAGGGGCCCACGCTAAGCCAGTCTTAACACATTAATTGGTTAATGACCAGTCTTTGGAAAGTAATCCAGCATGTAGGTGGGAGGGCTTTCTTTAGCCTTCCTGGAGGCATCCAAACCTCAGGCTCCCCTACACGCGTCCCCCCGCTGCGTTCCTCTCACCTGGTGGAAGAGGCAGGCTCTGTGGTTTGCCTCTGGATCCGTGTGCGCCGCATGATGTGGTCTTTCATGGACATCTGGACCTCTGCAGGGATATCTGGGGACGTGTGACTGATCTTCACCGCTGCCTCCAGGAAGCTTATGGCACCTGCATCCTTGAGCTTGTCTGCCATGCTCCCCTTGCTGCAGGCTGCCTCGCGCTGCAGGACGGCCAGGTTAGCAGAAAGGGCTTTGTTCCTCCAGGGAACCCAGCACAGCTTCCAAAAGAGAAACAGAAAAACTGCCACCAGGGCCAGTCCACACACAATAACTATCACTGCAAGGAGGCTGATGGAGAGCTCTGCAGCAGGAGAGAAGGCAACAGTGACAGAGGAACAGGAAAGAAAAAAAAAGAAAGATGTTGAGAAAGCCATATGTAAAAGAAGAAATGGTCCAAACTTGTATCACAACTAATGGAGAGCTCTTGGCAGATTCTGCAAGCATCCCCTGGCAGATCTGGACCTCTTCCTGCCCCAGAGACATCTGGGGAGAAATAGGCATCTCCACACGGCCAGAGCTATGGAGTCTTATACCATGGCTTACATTGGCTATAAAATGCCATCCTTGGTTTGTTTTGTGGCATTAGCAATCTGCTGAGCCCGAAGCCAAGAAGAATTGCTGAACTGAATGGCAGAAACAGGATCCAGTGCTGTACTGGCAGAAACTCTGTCTACCATGATCCTGGAAGCAGATTGTGGCTGTGTGATCAACACTCACATCTTGTCCAGATGTGCCTATAGGGAATAAAAAGTAAATACCTGTACCAAAAAAAATAAAATAAAATCAGAAGCTGCTGATCCAATGAAACCAAACATAGAAGGATCCTGTACAGAAAGAACTACCAATTATTCCTTATTCTGGATAGCACAGAAGCTGTGGATGTTCTCTGATACCCTGAATCTCTTTTACCTCATACACAATGTATTTCAGCATTTCAAGCTTTTTCTTTAGTAGAAAGAGCTTCCATACCTATGGCTGAAGAATCAGGAAAAAAGGAAGCTAGGCATGGATATATACAATGAGATATATACATGAGATTGTATCTAAATATATGTATACACACACACACATATATATACATATATATATACGATCTAGGCTGTGAAATGATTCATAGCACTTCAAAAAGATAAAACATTTGCTATTTTTAGTTCCTTCTCTACAGTGTATCAATTCCCAGATTCCCACCCAAACCAAAACTCCACCATTTTGGAATCACAAAGAGCACCAGTCCCTGGAGAGGAAAGCAGGTTTTGCACTTGAGTGCTCTGAGCTCAAGGACAATTCCCTGGTTGCCCACTGCCTTATTTGTAGTGACCAGTAAAGCTCTATGCCTTAAACTACCTAAGTGCAATTCAGAACAGAAAAAATATTCAGATAAAATAATCAGGCAAAAAAAAATAAACACTCCAGAAGTTTATGCAGAATAACCATTATCTCTGTTTATGTGTACACTTGGACCATAAATGTTTTGTGTTGACATGTGAAATAGACAGCAGCTCCTTAACTCTGCTGGAGTTGTGTTCCTGAGCTGTGCAAGGGAGGAACAGGATCAGGTGTCTGCTGGAAACCAGGAGCAACATCCATGGAAGGGGATCTGCAGAACACTGCTTCTCTTCTCCTCAGCTCTTGCAAGTGAAATCTCAAGGCAGGATCCTACACCAAATGTGACATCTACACCAGAACAAGGCAGCTCCATTGAACACCTGGGAAATCATCTGTTGCTCTCATACCCCAGAGGAAATGCACTGTTTTCCACAAAACTACCTTGCTTAGCAAATTCACTAAGAGCTTGAGGCAAAGCTTCCTGCCTGCCCACAGGTTCTGTGACTTAGAAGAAGGGCTGGAAGCTGCCAGCAGGTGCAGATGGAAAGAAGAAATGCCATACAGAATTTTGTGCAGCTTTTCTTCTCCCTCACCAGCCTCCTTTACAGGTCAGACTGCACCATTTCTTTTCTGCTGTAGCTCCAAGGTGGAAATACATATCACTCCTGGGGTGAATAAATAAGTCCCATCTTATTCAATAATAAATAGGATTGTACAAGCCAGCAGTGGAGCTTCCTTAGAGATTTGGATAAAAGTATTCTCACCAAAGCAGAAAGCACAGAGGAACCACTTTCTTATACTTGGACTTGTCTTGGAATTGTGCCCAGAAAACTCCCTGTCAAACAGTTCCATAAGAAAACTTAAGAACGTGGACTTTTTGCAAATATGTCTTTGTTGTTACAAAGGAAACACGTTCAGTGCAGAATCTATGGCTGCTGGACTCATTACGTGAGAGAAATGTTTCTGGTAAGATACTCCTGCCCATGCCAAGAAGTTACATGGCTCTGCTAGCACACCAGACTCATTAATGGCAAACATCAGAAATAATCAGTTATCACTTCTGAAAACCTGTTGCCAGCTTGAGAAAGATCTTAGTTCGTGTCCTTCCTTGCAGAGCTGGCATTCATAATGCATCTGACAGGACTCACAGATACTTTTATGCATGACCTCCTACTCTTTCCTCTGGCAGCTCACATAAAACACAAGTAGAAGGATTGGGATTTTACAGACATTTTTAAGCATCTGCCTGGGAAGAATATATTGGCTTGTCTGAAGATGACAATGAATTCCCCAAGACTTTTTTGTGACTTATTAAGCTTAAGTATTGGTTGGACAGAGCTGATTTTAATTGATTTAATGAGCTTTCTCTTATGAATTCGAAAATATCAGTTACTTTAAAAAAAACATCTTGTATTCAAAATGTTATGCTTTAAATGTCCTTTAACTTTAAAGAAGCTGTAAAACCAAGACAATTCCTTTTCTGACAGGAAATGCCCCAGGGCCAGAGGTTGCTTGGGTATTCCTAGGGTGGAAGGTAAGACCTCTTTCCCCAAAGACAGAACAGACCAAAAGGACACCACTTGCTCCTTCGTTTGAATTATCCCTCCCTATGCAAGGCTTCCTGAGTGGAGGGTAACGAGGGATGTGCCTGTGTCCATCAGAGCAGTTCAGCCTCCGCTCTCTGAAGGTTTCCAGCTCAGGGGAGCCCCCAGCCACCCCAGCCTTGGCATGAAAAATGGAAAAATGCAACAAGAACTGTGCTTGTATTCTCCTCTAAAAAAAACAACAGTGAGTTATTTGTTGCTTGGGTGTTAGGTCACCAGGGTTGGACAAGCAGAACATCCTCAGCCCTTCCTCACCCCGTTCTTCCCTAATGCAGGGCTAGTATCTCAGCTTAGCCCAGCTCCCCTGAGAGCCATGGGAGGAATTGCCTGGAAAATGGACTTTGCTGCCAATTGTAATCGAAAAGATAAAGCTTAAAAGGAGGAGGTGGAAAATACAAATTAACATGGCTATTTTCCAGTCTTTCTGTCCCTGGGAGCAAGAGCCACTTCTCAGAGGAACCCTCAGCTGGAAAAGGCTTTTGGCTACAGAGCAGCAATGATGAAGCTGTCGCACGACTAACAAGGAGGAGAACAAACAGCAGAGACATGGACAGATATGAACATTTGCCTGAGTGAGATGAAACATTTAGGACAAGGCACGGAGCTCTTTACCTGGTGGAACAGTGGCAGCTCCTTCAGGGATGCTCTGCCTCATGTATGAAGGTCTTTTTTGAGGTAGATGTTCACATGGTATGTAAAGCAAAAGAAAATTCTGAATCTGTGAGCCCCTCCATTCTGAGTGCACCCAAACTCCTCAGAGAACAGAGCCTGAGTTCAGCACTCCCTTGTCCTGGTACCCACACACTGGGAAAGCAGCTCCTCAATACAACCATCCAGCTTGTTGCATCTTGGATGGGAACTTATTAAGCGAATATGGTGGAAGCACCTTTCAACTTTCTGTCCCCCATGACCTCACACAACCCAAACTGAGTTAGCAAAGGGGATAATTACCAAAGTCCAAACAGGAAATTATTAATAATATGACAAAGTCAAGATTACAACAGTCCATTAACTGCAAGGCAGTACTGGTCTAATTATGGCAACATTTACTTTTATTACTGTGAAGTAGCTTGCACTGTCATTCAAGAGATTCATGGATGACTCTGAGTTAAACGTGAAGAGTTATATTTAATATCTTGAAGGTGTAACTTTACTTTCCTTCCACCCACCCCCCACACAGAAAACAAAATAAGTTTGATGGCTCCCCCAGGACTCCAGCATCTATCAGTCATCCCAGCTACCTGCTGGATTTAAACAAAGTTTGAGTATGAGCAGAAGTTCAAGGGGGCTGAAAAAAGCAAATGCTATAGGGCCGAGGCCCACTGTGGGGCCAGGCCCTTGCTGGAGGAGCTCAGCTGTGGTGGCCACCAGGGTTGGTGACACTGGCCCAGTGGTCCCCTTCCCAGAGGACTGATGGGTTCTGCAGGCCCTGGAGAACCCTCTGCACAACCCCTGGCAGCAGCAAGGGCTCTGGGACCTCATTGTCTGCTGGGGTTGACATGGGCAGCACGGCCACCACCGCTCAGCCCCACAGCCCCATCCTCACCATGGACACAGACAAAGCCTCTGACCCGATCCTGTCAAGAGCAGATGGACATCTTCCCTGTGAGAGGTTCTTACTGGTAAGTTTTCCAGTGGCCAATGGAAAACCTTAGCAGAGCTCTGGCTAATTCGCTGCCCGCTGGGTTTCCTGCAGCTGGAAAAGCAGCTCCCAGATATTTCAAGCTGTGACCTGGACCGTGTAACTTCTTCCCGCAGCAAATACTCCTGGAAGAGCAGCCACAGGGGATGGCAGAGCCTGGAGGTAGGGACTGCTGGTGAGGCACCTTAACCTTTCCTCTACTGGGTGCACAACTGGTTTTCCAGTGTAATTTATCAACCATTGCTCATACCATGTCAGAAGACATTTCCAGGTTTCTTTGTCCATTTTTGCTACATTTTTCTATTGCAGCAGTGTCATGAGAATATACTGTTCTCTTTCTGTAGGGCTTTGTAGAGATCATGCATTCAAATGATGGATTACTACAAGAGTTATTGCTGAAGAAGACAGGCAGCTCTGGGGCTACAAAAGACCACGTGAGGCACCCACCAACTGCTGATTTAATTTCCTCTCAATTGAGAAGCATCAGCAATGTGAGTCTGATTAGCTGAGGGCTGAAAATTGAGCATGAGAAACTGTGCTGAATCTTGGCCACCTGAGGCAGGGGCAGAGGGGAGCACAGGACAATAGCAGGAGAAAAGGAAGAAGTTTCCAGTAAATCCTAGCTACAGACATGTTTCTTTAGCAGTGCTGTTTAGCTTTGAAGCTTTCCGGAGGAAGGAGGAGGAACTGGATGGAGCAGAAACCAAATGTTAAACCAATGCAGCAGCA